CAGTCCGTACTGCAGGGTGGCGCGTAAATTTGTAAAATTATTGGTTGCTACTATACATATAAAAATGCTATGGCAGTGGATTCATATGCAAATTGAGGTTATACAAAGTTTAACACTTTTGGATATTTTATACTACCACCAAATGTCAAATGACTGACAAACTATCAGACAGTCAACCATATAACCCGACTCTTTCAACCCAGTTGACCAAAAAGTTTTATAATGACTGAAGACCATCAGCGTCACCAACAACAGTACCATCATGAACATAAACATAGTCATCATCATCATCATCGTTGTCAGCGTCATTATTATACTGGTTTTGTAAAAAGGTTTAATGGTTTTGTACTCAATATCCTTTCTACTTATTTGTACTTTATTATCAGCATGCAACTGCAACAACAACAACAAAACATTTAAGTGAACTTTATTTGCTTCTTTTTCTCCTGCAACATGTAAATTGACACAACAGAAAAATTAAAATAGTGTTTTCGTTTAAAATTATTATATAGACTATACTATAGACTAGACCATAGACTAGACCATAGACTAGACTATAGACTAGACTATAGACTAGACTATAGACTAGACTATAGACTAGACTATAGACTAGACTATAGACTAGACTATAGACTAGACTATAGACTAGACTATAGACTAGACTATAGACTAGACTATAGACTAGACTATAGACTAGACTATAGACTAGACTATAGACTAGACTATAGACTAGACTATAGACTAGACTATAGACTAGACTATAGACTAGACTATAGACTAGACTATAGACTAGACTATAGACTAGACTATAGACTAGCCTATAGCTATAGACTAGACTATAGACTAGACTATAGACTAGACGATAGACTAGACTCATAGACTAGACTATGACTAGACTATAGACTAGCCTATAGACTAGACTAGAGACTAGACTATGACTAGACTATAGACTAGACTATAGACTAGACTATAGACTAAGACTATAGAACTAGACTATAGACTAGACTATAGACTAGACTATAGAATAGACTATAACTAGACTATAGACTAGACTATAGACTAAGACTATAGACTAGACTATAGACTAGACTATAGACTAGACTATAGACTAGACTATAGACTAGACTATAGACTAGACTATAACTAGACTATAACTAGACTATAGACTAGACTATAGACTAGACTATAGACTAGACTATAGACTAGACTATAGACTAGACTATAGACTAGACTATAGACTAGACTATAGACTAGACTATAGACTAGACTATAGACTAGACTATAGACTAGACTATAGACTATAGACTAGACTATAGACTAGACTATAGACTAGACTATAGACTAGACTATAGACTAGACTATAGACTAGACTATTAGATTAGAATATAGACTAGACTATATACTAGTCTATTATATTAGAATATAGACTAGACTATACTTAAACCACTGATTTAAGGAAGCATCAATTCACTCCATTAGATACCCTTCTACCTATAAAACTTTTATTCCCCATTGCCGCCTCTAGTACGAGAAAAAATACGAAATGGATCTGTTAACACTTTCTGCAGTTGTTGTTATTAAAGCTTTTGTTGTTTTCATCGTTACACATTTTCGTGTCGCTAGCAATTGTTTCGGTAAGTTTTATGCGAATGCAACTGAGTGTGAGTAACACGATGTTAAAGTGTCGAATAGTGAGTGGTGTTGTAATACGGAACGTAATCATATTGAAGTTGAAAATGATTACAAGGTTTGAAATTAAACTGGACAGAAAAAAGTTAGCAAGTGACTAACTGACTGACTTACTGAATGAAAGACTGGGTGAGTGAGTAAGTTAACGAGTGAATGAATATAATAAAGTAAAAACAAATCGTATATACTGCTAAATATTGCCTGACCTCTGGTAATAAGTTTTATATTGTAGTTTACAACTTTTTTTCTTGCAAAAGGAAAAAAAAGAAAACAGGGTTAAACAAAAGTTATTACAAAGTTTATTATTTTTTTCTGTTTTCATTTAAATTTTACATAATTCAATTTCAGTTTTTATGTGAGTACATAAAAATGTTGTAAACATTTTTTCTACTTTCATAATTTTCACCTTGATTTTAAGTGGATTTTTGTTGCATTTAAAAGGCGTTTTAACTCAAAAACAACTGTCACTAATTGTGTTTTAATAGAAAACTAGTTAATCCCATTGTAGCTTAGAAAGTTTCACCTCATTTACAGAAAAATTACATGAAATTCAATCGTGTTTGTATTTAGTTTTTCGAACTTTTTTTTGCTGAGGAGTTCATTCCATTTATTTTCTATTTGATTTGGTTTGTCTCCTCATTATTATCAGGCTTTGTCGGTTTGGTGAGTGTCTTTTACTCATTTTACTTTATTGTTGATTTTGTAAATTGATCACGTTTGTTTAATTTTTAAACTTTTCTTTTTCGTTGAGTCGTTTGAGTTTTGTTTGTGTTTATTTTACTGAATGAACAACCTTAAAAACACATTATTTTCAAATAAAACTTGGTCACCTGTATTCTGTCTGTAATATTAGTGGGGGGGGTTAAGTAAATTCGCTATATACTAGACTATAGACTAGACTGTAGACTAGAATGTAGACTAGACTATAGACTAGACTATAGACTAGACTGTAGACTAGACTGTAGACAAGACTAGTAGACAAGACTACAGACTAGACTAGAGAGACTAGACTATAGACTAGACTGACTAGACTATAGACTAGACTATAGACTAGACTATAGACTAGACTATAGACTAGACTATAGACTAGACTATAGACTAGACTATAGACTAGACTATAGACTACTATAGACTAGACTATAGACTAGACTATAGACTAGACTATAGACTAGACTATAGACTAGACTATAGACTAGACTATAGACTAGACTATAGACTAGACTATAGACTAGACTATAGACTAGACTATAGACTAGACTATAGACTAGACTATAGACTAGACTATAGACTAGACTATAGACTAGACTATAGACTAGACTATAGACTAGACTATAGACTAGACTATAGACTAGACTATAGACTAGACTATAGACTAGACTATAGACTAGACTATAGACTAGACTATAGACTAGACTATAGACTAGACTATAGACTAGACTATAGACTAGACTATAGACTAGACTATAGACTAGACTATAGACTAGACTATAGACTAGACTATAGACTAGACTATAGACTAGACTATAGACTAGACTATAGACTAGACTATAGACTAGACTATAGACTAGACTATAGACTAGATAGACTAGACTATAGACTAGACTATAGACTAGACTATAGACTAGACTACAGACTAGACTATAGACTAGACTATAGACTAGACTATAGACTAGACTATAGACTAGACTATAGACTAGACTATAGACTAGACTATAGACTAGACTATAGACTAGACTATAGACTAGACTATAGACTAGACTATAGACTAGACTATAGACTAGACTATAGACTAGACTATAGACTAGACTATAGACTAGACTATAGACTAGACTATAGACTAGACTATAGACTAGACTATAGACTAGACTAGACTAGACTATAGACTAGACTATAGACTAGACTATAGACTAGACTATAGACTAGACTATAGACTAGACTATAGACTAGACTATAGACTAGACTATAGACTAGACTATAGACTAGACTATAGACTAGACAAAAATTTTTGGTAAATTTATCTCTTGATAAATTTACCATATTATTAAAAATTTACAATAAAATCATTATAAAGTTGAAAATGTAAATTTCGAATTTTATTGGAGAAAATTATTTTGAAAATATAACTGAAATATTAGAATCAAAATTTGCTCTCACCCAATGTTTAAAAAAACAGTTTGCTGTTGTTGTAGTTTATTTTTAAACCCTGTTCATTACACGTACAAATTTGTTATAATAATAAATATTTACAAGAATCAATAACATTTAATTAACAAATAAATAAACAAGCTGATGGCGGCTACTCAAACCCCTTCACTTGCTACTTTTTATTAATAAACTGGGCTTGTCATTTTCGTATCAACACCTGGATCCAACTAATAATATTGAAAAATTAAAAAAAAAACTATATTTAAAGCAATTTTACACATTCAATTTACATTGAAATTTTACTGGGTGTCAATAATTTTGTAGTTTTTTCTTTTTTTGTTTACAAAATTTAAGCGGGTAATTAAAAAGAAAATAAACATTAAATTGAAACAACAGATCAGACAACATTCGAGTATACATATAAAAAATAATACTTAAACACATACATACATGTGTATGTATGTTGTAATGTGACACTTGTGGTTGTATGTCTGTCTGTCAGTGAGTCGTATGTGGCGTCATAGTTAACATAATAACAAATTTGTTGTTTGAAAAAAAATGTATGTCATTTATATCGATTTCATTGAATAAATTAAAATTTGACAGATTTGTGTGAAGGAAAACAAAAATTGTCGTTATTGTGTAATAAATTCGGAAGTGAATATAGGTTAGAACATACTTAAGTTATTAGATTTCTAATTGAAAGAAAATTATAACATTTTAACCATAATAACCTCTATTAACAGAACTTAACCTTATATTTAACAAATTGCTGCTTTAAATTTTAAAAAATACCAAAACAAATGATTAGCTCAGTGACCTAATACATACAAGTAAAAAATAAACAATTGGACAAGTGATCCCCTAGAAAAATTTCCCCCCTATCCATATTAAATATTAGAACTAAAACCGTTGTTTGCTGCCAAAGAAGGTCAGTCTACATATGACCCTTATGACAAGCACATTATCACTATCATGTTCCTAATATAAAATCGACTCATATTTCTTATTAGCAAGATTTTCTTTATTCTAACTAAACTCCTTCAGTTTTAAAAAAATATCTTTAATATTTTAGTTACGACATTTTTAGTTTTTAGTAAATACGTAATTATCTAATATATATCATATTATTTTCAAAAATATTACAAAAAAAATGTGTCTCTTAC